CGGCGGGGGACCCGGGAGAGCCTGTGAGGAGAGGTCGGTCATCTCCGCTGCGTGGTTTCTGCTTCTCGCTGTCTGGTCTGTTGGGTTCGGTGCTTCTTCCCCTGGTCTGTTGAGTTAACCCCAGTGTGGTTGTTGTCCCCCGTGGATCCTCGCGGCTGTTCTGTGTGTGTTGTTCTGCTGGGACTGTCTCTGTACACCGCGACTTACCTTCCTCCAGCCCCTGCCTGTCCAGCCTGGGAAGGAAAACACAGGGGAAAGCAATATTCCATCTTGCCAGTGGCATCTTCAAGGCCAGGTTGGATGAGGCTTTGAGCAACCTGGTCTAGTGGAAGGGGGTCCTGCTGATTTTTTTACTGGATGATCTTTAAGGTCCCTTTCAACCCAAACCATCCTGTGATTCTGTGATCTTTTGCAGCCTGTCTGTTCATTAGAGGTCTTCTTGCATCTTGCTTTCACTTTTGCCTACAAGTGTCCAAAAATCTGAGAGACACTATTTATCAAACAGAAATCCTTAATTACATTTGGATAGTTAATGAAGTCCCCAGACTCCACGCAGGAGGCTGGACTTGCGGTGCAAGGGCAATGGAACAGACTGGGCAGGAAAAGGGGAGGAGGAAGCGTCATTGCTTCATTCAGAAACTGGATGGAACAACCCTGAGAAAGGAGGAACAGCCAGCCTCTTTTTTTGGAGAAGGTCATGTTCCATTTCAGCCTGAAACAGAGGACTGACTCACTGTCCTTGTGTTTCTGAAAAAAAAATCATTAATCTGTTCTAACTTTTTTTGTTCTTAGGGAAGAGCCTGTTTTGTGTGGCACCCTTTTTAACCACTTACCTGCTTGGTGTTTCTACAGTGACCAGGAGCAAAGGGGAAATATTAGATCATGTCGGAATTCTGGCTGATTTCCGCCCCAGGAGATAAAACAAATCTGCAGGCATGGGAGAGAATGAACACAGTGACATCTAAATCCAACCTGTCCAGCAACAGTAAATTCCATATTCCAGACTTAAAGGTAACAAGGAAAGGGTTTGGGTGTGGGTGATACAGCAGCATTAGCCAGGACTAAAAACTTTTGGGATAAATGTGGGATTTATCTTTTGGGATAAGATGCAGAGAGCAGAAGATTGCAGTCAGGGAATGAATTGTGCTCAGTCAACTGAAAATTGATCAGAGAGAAAATAAGTCATTGTGCTTGAAGCTGAGCTTTGCATTGGTAGGGTATACATATAAGGAGTGAAGATGACCAGTTAAATAACTAATTTGTTGCATTCAATGTGCTGTTTCTCCTACTCATGAAGGTGATACAGCATTGTACATCTTAGATCGCTAATGCAAAGGGAGTAGCTAAGTATCTCAAACCATGCCAATAAGATTAATGACAGAGAAAAGAGCACTATAATGCACGTTATTCCTTGGGAAATGGATGTATGTGTTTATTCAGCTACATCATCCAGCTTCATATCACCATATAAATAGGAAGAGTATTAATCCATGATTTTTTAAATATGTATCTTTGCATTATTTAATCCTTTTTTTATAAGATCTTTACCTTATCTTTATTTCACTTGTGGCTATCAAAAATCCAAATATGCTGCATTAAAGTCAATGGAGCTACCACAGATGTAGAACTTGGTTCTTTGGGGAGTTGCCATCACCCATCACTTAACAAAGCTTCACTTAGTGCATCTGGGATGTGGCTTTAATCTAATAAGACTGTTAACAGTTACAACTTGAGCTATAGCAATTACAGAAGGATGCAAGTGAAAGGGGAGTGTGGCCTGTTCTCAGGTAGTAACCTACTGAATTTTCATGTCAGTGTTTCAGACTGGGAGTATTGTTTTTTGCATGTGCACCTGAGATGGCTGGATTTTACCATCTATGGGCCTTACCCAGCCGGTGTTGGTGTGAGTCCATTAATGTCAAAGGAAATAAAGCATTTGCAGTACCTGAAGGTGCAACCAGTCCATTAATATTCTGCTAATTGTTCTATGTAAAATTTGATTCTTCTTCAGCTTGACCCTTCATAACGTTGAGCTGGCAACATTACAAGAAAAGGTTCAGCAATGTATTGCAATACCATAAGCATAAGATTATGACTGTGACAAAGAGTTATACAAAAAACAGATGTTGGTCTTGGAGGAAATTACTTTGTGAGGGGCTTAGTCTTTGGTAATAGCAAAAACCACAAACAGAGACCCCCTTTTGAATTAAGTGCTGCTTCCCTTGGTTCTCTCAGTACATCAGATTGGTTTCTATGTATATTGTGTGCATTTCTAGCCACTATTTTGTCATGTAAAAGATCAGTCTATGCTACTTGATGATACAGGAATGAAAACAGGAAGACGGTGATGTATAATCTTGAGTCTACACATACATTTTTTCCTTTATTGGAAAAGGCTTTTTGTGCTCTAGGTACTGGGTAAAGGAATTGCTACTATTTTCCACTAAGTAAATAAAGTTCTGCCAGCGGAAGCCTTAGACTTGTGCATCTTTCACCTACTTTTCATCTTTTGCGCAGGTGGGGACACTGGATGCTCTTGTTGGTCTGTCAGATGAGTTGGGAAAACTTGATAGCTTTGCTGAAAGGTAAAATAGATCTTATTTACTCCCTACAAATGAGACACAGACATTGTTTTTATGGGACGGTATGTCCTTGTGTTCACCTCGGTCTGACTCAGTTCAGCCTGGACTATAACTGGCCTAAAGTGGATAGGCTTTGTTTAACCCTTGTGTTGACTGTCATGGAGTCATCTCAAAGAAAGCAACATTCCTTTAAACTTGGATGAATTAAGACAGTGCTAGTTTTGTTTGCATAGCAATCTATTTGAGTTGCAGTGTTAGGGAAGCTGTTTATCAAAGGGAAACTGCTAAAAAAACGTGTTTTGTTTTGTTTTTTAAGAATGTCACCCCGCCTCATCCAGAAACTTAATAATACGGCATTTGGAGAATATGAAGCCTTCCTTGATCTTATTTTCCCAGAATATTTCTCTTGAGCCTTCTGCCCCTTTTCAACCAGATATAGCAGTTCTAAGGAATAAGTTCTCCTTAATGAAATCCAGAGTTCTCCCCCTCAGACTTTTAAACTCCTTGAAAATCAGAATATTGACTCACATTGTATCAAACCTACTTATGAAAAAACTCACATGATTTCCTTGCTGATCATTGCCCAGTTTGCCTTTTGGGCCAAACTGACCTGGGTGTACAAAGGATAATATAATACAGCAAGCTGAGAAAATGCCAAGTTGTAAGGTACTTCATGGTACAAAGTAGCCTTTGTTGTTGAGGCAATGAAAGTACAAGCTGCTGGGGTTTTTTGTTTGTTTGTTTGTTTCAGTGTTGTTTTTTGGTTTATTTTTCCTTTGGAAGCATACCTCATATATAGTTGTGGTCTTGATCACAGAGGCACATGTCAGCTCTGGAGCCTTTTGCCATTTTTTCCCCAGCCAGGACTGATAAGGATTTGCTTGTCTAAATACGCTTGATACTTGCATAGATTTTGTCTGGGGTTGCAAGTGCATACAGAAACACTGATATAAGCTGCTCATACCTGTGCTAGGCAGTTTGGGTAAAAGTAAGTCTGCTAGAATACCTTTCTCCGTAGGATATTTTTTTTTATTATTATTTTTATTTTTACTTTACTAGTACTACAGCAGGGCAGTAGTGGAATGATTACGCTTGATCACTCTGGGTTGAGCACTATTTTGATCTTTTTAGGATTACTTTTTCAGGATTTTTATCAAGACGGAGCAATTTAATATTTAATTCATCAAGAAAACCTCCATTGTGACTCTGGCAGAGAAAACTGCTCCAAATTGTTTTTAAAAAGTGTTCAGGCCTCTGGTTCATGCTGCAGAGATTTTTCACGCTGGAATTAAGTGGAAACAAGGCAAATTTCGGGAGAGATGCTGCCAATACCTGCTGTCTATTGTAGTGGAAGATGTCTCTACTCAAGGCAGCAGATAGCTAAGCAACTGTGTGATCTGTATTTGAGGGCTGCCAAAAATCGTGAACCAATTTTCAGAAAGGCTTTACTAATTCCCAGCTTTGTGACGAATTAACACTTCTAAAAAGCTGTCTGTAGGATCCATGTGAGATCACAGAGGGTAGTTTGAAGTTAAATGCCAGTAGAAACTCCCTAGGCTCACTGTCTCTTTCTATTACCTTTATCTTAACTTGACAACATGGTACAGCTCCTTGTTCAAGCTGGGTGCCACTTTGATACACTAATCATCTCTTTAATGCCAGTAATGACTCTTGCTGTGTGACATGCTATAGGCACCGAGCAAAGGGGTCAGTGAGGCCCTTCCACTGTAACCTGCTGAGTTAAGGACTCTTCCCATTTCTCTTGTTTGCCTATCCAGATAAGGATGAACGAGATTTAGAAATAAGAAAACCATGTTAAAAAATAAGAAAAATGCATTAGCATAGAGTAGTAGCAGAGAATAATCAACACAGATCAGGTCCCACAAAGATGTATAAAAGCATTTTGCATTAAATAAAAGTGCATGGGTTTGCGTCTGAATTGTGATTCAAGGGTTAAAATGCCAAGCACTTGCACTTTGTTTAAGTAAATGGCATCCAGAGGGTTACAAACATGTTCAAATGACCTGAGCATTTTGTTCCTCCTCCTCTGAAACAGCCACCTGCTGCACTGTTGCTGGATAAACACAACTGCTAGGAAAGCCAGGCGGCACAAACCTGTCAGCGCTGCCTCCTGCCAGGACAGCAGAGAAGGGGCAAGAGTTTGCAGGATCTATTGTTTCTATATGCTTTTATTATTTATTTACACTGAGAGGTGGAGTGTTTTTCCATGTCACCATGTGGTAGCATGGAGCTCTCTGAAGCTGACGATCCCCTTGGTCACTCTTATCCGGGCGTTCTGCTGAGTCCTCAGTCAGTGGAGCATCCTGCAGTGGCCTCAGATTGCAGGGCTTCTGCTCCCGCCGGTGTTTTGGAGGCGTAGCTGGTAGCACCCTTTAATATACAGTATAATTTAATGAGTGTTAGTCTTTTTTTTTTTTTTTTGGAAAGTAATGACATTGCAACAATTTCAGAAGCAAAATATGAGTCTTCCAAGCCATAATAATAGGCTAAATTGAGTTATTCTCTTTACAGATTTTTATTACTACTTTTTGAGGCAGTTTAGCTGAAACCCTCTCCTTTTATAACACCTCATTTGAGCATGATATTTGCTCCAGGTGGGATTCATCTCGTCTAAAGGCAGAGGTTTAAGGGTTGGATGTGAAAGCTGCTTGCTGTTGGATGTCACTATAGGTTATGGGGCTCCTCCAGAGGTCTGATTCCTCTTGCTTGCCTCAGACATCAGTGTTACGCAGAGTGCATGTTCTGTCTTTGCATGGGAAATGCATTGGATGAATTAATCCCACTTGCATTTCACAGGATGCAAGGCAAGGCACAGAGAATAAGCCAGGACTGGAGAACAATGCTCTGGCCCAGTGTATACAGACATTCTGACCATGTCCTGCCTGCAGGGACCTTGGGGCATATGGGCTGGAAGGGAGTCAAGCCTCACCTGGGCAACTAGAACTGTTGGGTGCACAGGTGTCCCACTGTCTATACCTATGGACAGAGACCAGAGCTAACTGACTCCCAGCTATCAGGTTAGCCCCCAGCTGCACTCAACAGTAACAAAAGCAGCTCAGGCCCCTTAGAAAAGCTACTGGTTTATACATTTTCCTGTTGGCTGCTTTCTCCATAATGCCCTTATCCTGCTGTACTGTTCTTACCAACTGGGCTGGAGTCCTGTCTTGTTCCAAGTTCCTTTGGGCTCCCTGGACATTACAAAGGGGCTGAAAACCAGCTATGCCTGCAAACTGAAGTGTTTGGCAAGGTTGCAGCTGATGAGGAACCGCTGTGTGGATCCCTGCACCCTGCCTGCAGCCTGACTGGGGGCAAAATGCAGTGTTCTCCAGCAACACTCAGCTGCCACCAGGTACCAAAGTGGCTGCAGCCAGATGGTGGAAACTGCATCCCTAAGAGGGCTGTGAGCTAGATGGCAATGGTGTAGATTTGTCCTACAGGCACTTTGAACTGTGCCTGTCCAGGGTAATGAGAAGAATGTTTTGGGTTGGAAAGGACCTTTAAAGATCATCTAATCCAACCCCCTGTGGGCATCTTTCACTAGACCAGGTTGCTCAGAGCCCCGTCCAACCTGACCCTGAACACTTCCAATGATGGGGCTTCCACAGCTTTTCCAGTCAACCTGTTTCAGTGTCTCACCACCCTCATCACAAATAATTTTTTCTGTATATCCAATGTATATCTACCCTCTTTAGTTTAAAACTGTTGCCCTTTGTTCTGTCACTATATGGGCTGGTAAAAAGCCTCTCTCCATCTTTCTGATAAGCCCCCCTTTATATATTGAATGGCTGCAATAAGGTCTTCACTTCACTAGGCTGAAAGACCCCAAAGAGCTGGAATTCTGACTACTGCATTCTTGAAAGCATCAGCAATCTCAGATTTTTCCTCCCCATCACCGGACTGGAAAACCTTTCCAAATACAGTGAGTTTCTTCACAGGAATGGAGATAGAGGGAATCTTTACCTTTATGAATTACTGCTTTTAAATGTCCTGTATATCTGCTTGGCAGCACATCAAAGAAAATCCTTTTCTCTGATGCTGTCATGGTGTCTGCACCTGGCCTGAAGTCCCTTTCCTGAACTCTTGAAAGCCACAGGATGTCACAAGACACATTGTCCAAACACTGCAGGTGCCTTTTCAGTCTCCAGCTTATCTGCAGCTGTAGTAGTCTCTGTAAGGAGAGAAAGGGAGAAGCAGCCTGTCATTATGCTCCACTCCATGTCACGATGCCAAGGATTATGTCCACTTCATGTCTCTGCCGATTTCATGATCAGGCAGCTACTTTTTAGCTGATGGTTGTTTTTTTTTTTACAAGGTGTATTCAGCCTGGAACAGTTAGGGAATTGAAGGCCAGATTCTGTGAATATTTCTGAGTAAAGGAGGGTACTAGAACAACCAGAAAGGCTCTTGGCCTGTATGGGATAAGTATTTTGACCAAGGCCAGGGAGATCTACTGCTGGAGGAACTTGATGAATCAATTGTTTTTAAATTAAGCAAAAAAATAAGTAACTGTGTAGAGACAATGTTCTCCAGGAGGGGCTCTGTTCGATTCACCGCTCTAAATCAGGAAGCAGGAGGATTTGAATCTAGTTGTTCCACACTTTAAAGAGTGTCTTGTCCACCAAGCTAAAGAGAGAAAGAGTCCCCTAAAGAAGAGGAATAAGAAGGAAATTCTCCCTGTCAAGCAAGAGAACATTGTTGTTTTCCTCTGAGTGCTTTGTTAAGAACCTTGTCTCAGCAAGCCCTAAGGGTTTATTTAGCATCCCGTGGAAGAGATTTTCAGACAGTGTATGTGTGTAGCCTCTTGTTCCTTCATCATCTTCAGAGTTTCAAACATGAGTTTCTTGCCTTCTGGTTTCTGCTATGAGTATCATGAGTGTACAGAAGACTGAATCTTGATCTTCTGGAAGTTTAGAGCACTGGGGAGATAGATGATATATTACCTTTGTGTTTGCAGAGATCAGTGTATTTAGAAATATGGCATTTAGTTCTGCAACATGCTATAGGTTGTTTATCATCATTTCAATTGCAAATAACTTGCTTCAAAAATGTTTTGTTTGGACATCTCCATGCTTATCAGATCATTGTGGAAATTGTTTTATATTAATTTTGTTTCTTCACTAACAAAGCTTCTCTTGTTACACCTAAGCATAATAAAGAAAATAGCCCAGTACATAGGAGAAGTTATGGAGGACTCAAAAGATAAAGTCCAGGAAAATCTTCTGGCCAATGGAGGTAGGTGTTGTGAATGTGGATATTTTAATGCATTGATGCTGCCTGTGTTTGCTTCAGAATATGAACATGTAGAATTGAAACACTCACACAGTAGAAAGGACATCCATCAGCGACATTTTTTAAGAACACATATACCCTGCTCCCATTTTTCTCAAAGTTAGCAGAAGCTTTATCCAGCACCAACTTTGTTTCCAGGAGAGTGTTCAGTGTCTATTACTGAACTTGTTTCTAACACCAGAGCTGAGGAGTGAAGAAGAAAGCAGGAGACATCCTTCTTCACTCCTAAAATGACTTTTCTGTGCCCCGTGTGGGCTTGATCTCTTACAGGCAGCTGAATCCCATTCTGTGTGGCTGCATGACATCTGCCAGTGATCTGTTTAGTGATTTGCCTTCAAATCACACGTCATAGTCCTGGCATAGATCATGTTGTTACCTGTGGATTTCTGACATCACAGGTGGATGTGTGAGGCAACAGCTCCAAAACAGGAGCTGGAGCTGCACTCACAAGTTTGTGCCGGGGGCTGGCAGGACGTGCAGGAGGAGGAAATGCCCTCCTGTGATGTCCTTCCCTGGCTGGCAGCAATTGTGTAGCAGAGAAGAGCGGGCAGCAATGGCAGGGGCACTTTTGACATGCCAGAGGGCTGTTGGAGCCCACTGCCTTTCTGTATGCTCCCCTGCAGCATCTCTGAGTAGTCACTATGGTGTTAGTATAACCTCCATGAACTTATTTCCACCCTTTATTATCTAGTATGGTACTCAAGGCCCTGAAGGGGCCCTGTGCCAAGGAGAAAATTAACATTTAGGAACTGATGGCTCCTAGATCTCTGCATGTGTCATTAGATCCTGAGTGTGTTTCAGAGCAAGTTTCTCTCAGCTATCCTGGTAAAGTACAGCGAAGTTGGATGTGTTACACTTGCTACTTATGGCCTTGTAGAGTGACACTATTAACTGTCGTAGAAATAAACTAACAGTGCACATTCCATCAGCCTTTGACTGTCTGCAGTGTTGTTCTTCAGATCTGAATAAGTGAAAAATGGAGTGGAAGTTCTTTTAGAAATGTCTTTTTTGCATGAAATAAGACTGATTTTTGATGAGAGCAACCACTTGACAACTACAATAATCCCAATTATTATGTTTCAGGGCTAAAGGATAAAATGAAATGTCTTAAAAGTACGTTGAGGATTGATGATTGTGGTGTTGTTACAAGCATGCATTTGTGTGTATTAGTGCTAGAAACAAGTCTTGGTCTGGTTGTAGAGATACAGTGATCAGGTTACGATGGATTTCTCAAGTAACAACCTCGTAGCTTGATCACGATATCCCTATGACTTGAGAAACAACAGGTTTCACTTATTTCCTCTTTTTACACCATTTTCCTTTCCTATCAGCTCTGCATGTGTTGTAATATAAGGATGTGGAAATTACTTGTGTTACTAATTTCTGTCCTCCATCTGGATTTGGTCATCCAAACAAATAATGTTAAACTAAGACATTAACCTTTACAAGATTATTACTTGCATCTTAAAAAATTGATTCAGCTTTAGTATATGAGGATTCCCCTAATACATTCCAGTGTCATTCTTTATAAACAGAAGCAGCAATTTTGCTGTACAAATTCTTCGTCCTCTGCTTTCTGGTTAGCAAAAGGACCCTAAAGTTGAAGACTTCCTTGGGGTCATGAAATAAGAAACAAAATCATAAGAGGCAAGTTCTTGCTGCATGGTCCTGTTTCAGACTATTAGACTGTCCCAATTCAAATTTTGTTTTAAGTTACACTCTACAAGTTTTCTGATTTTATCTCAGTTTTATATATTCCTGGCAGCAGTTAGGTCCACAAACTGATGAAGATGGTGGCTGCATGTCTAACAATTGTTTGGTTAGATTTGGGTGAAGAAAAATGCAAAGTACTAGAAAATACAGCTCTTTTAGTTAAGTGAACACACACACTACTTTCCAGTGGGCAACGGTTGGAAGCAGCCACGTGGAGATATCTGTCTTTAATATAAAGAAAAGTGTGTGTTTGTGTAATAAAGGAAATTTTAGTATATCACAACAGCAGGAAATGCTTTCTTGCTTATTACAGAATAAAAAAATGTGAAATGTACATAAAGCTTTTCTTCAAAGAGTTGGACCAAATTCTCTTCCATTTATAGTAATGTTACACCCAAATGAATTTTAAGATTTGGTAAGTGGTGGAATAACTCCATTCTTTATAATGAGCTCAAATCAAAGCAAAATGGAAAGCGTAACAATTTTAGAATTGTTTCAAAGGGAAGGAATTCAACACTGCCTCTTAGAGCTGGATGAGTAAATCAGAGTTACGAGAGGTTCAGGCTGTGGTGTTCCTGGGCAGCTGTGAGTGTGCTGGGGTAGGTAGGAAGCATCTCTCCTGGATGGGCAGCTATGTGAAGTCTTTTAGAAGGGACTTGACAGGTTCCATGAATGAGGGGTGCCATTCCAGGAGTATCAGGGTGCTTGGACTGCTTGGCATTGTAAGCTCAGTGCTGCTGGTGTGGTCACAGTAGTTTGTGCCATCCCCAAGATCAGACTGCTTGACTAAACTGCACCAATGCCAGAGCACGGCTCGGGAGTGAGCTTGTAAAATGGGCCGAGAACTCATGCTGTACTTCACTGCCTAACATTTGAGTTGTGCTGAGATTCAAGGAATGCGAGCCTAGAAAGGGCATGTGTAGGTCTTCAGGGAACTTACATTATCTCTTCAGCTATAAATAGGTCAGAGCCTGTGAATTCACTGTTCCTCCACACAGCCCGGTGATACCATGTTCTTTGCAGGTTTCATTCCCATTGAATTTAGCAAAGCCTAAGCAAGAAAGCTTGGAAGAGAGGCAGCAGGATGATGTCCTTGTTTCGTGTACCTCATGCTAAAAATGCTCCATGAATTTTATTGCTCAAGTGTTTCTGATCTCCCTGCCTTCCCCCAAGAGACCATGAGCAAGCATTGCCAGAGAACTGTGCATGCAGGAGCTGTGTGAGCTCTCCCTGCCTTCTGCAGTTTTGTCCCCTTCCGACACCCTCCCTGTGCAGGAGAATTTGCTGGTTCCCGATCAGACCTTAGTGGGAAGGGTTGGATCTTTGCCTTGTGACTCCTGTGCATTGGATGAATGAGAAGTTCACACAGCTGTGGTTTTAGAAAGAGGAGAAAACACTGTCACTGAAGTTCACACAGCTATGGTTTTAGAAAGAGGAGAAAACACTGTCATGACAGTGCTGTCTGCCTCTGAGGCAGCTTATCCTTTGCTAAGAACCCTATTTCCTCCTAACACAAGACTTTCCATGCTTTGGAAATCTAATAGGGTAAACTGACTCTGTTGTGGGGTGAGAGAAGCCCATGGAAAGGATAGCGCTCTGCTGCCGAGGGTATTCGGTATCACACGGGACAGGGTAGTACCCTCAGCCTGGTAGTATGGCAACCTGTAAAGTTGCCCAAGAACACTATGTCAGGGTGTGTCTGACAACCTGAGGGCTCTCAGGACTCAGCTTAGGCAGAGAGCTGTCTGATTCCGTGAACTGCTAGAGGAGAATTTTTATTTGGTACAATAATGTACCAAGTCTTAATGTTTTCCGATGTTAAGGAGCAGTGGTCTTCAAACAAAGTGAAATAGCGTGATCCTGTCACCTCCACTCTATTGTGGAAAGAAGTCATGGCTCCCTGTGGCCCAAGGGTGCTGTCTTTTGGGGAGCTGCATGCACAAGGCCTTGCTGTGGATTTCTGTCCTGGGTGCTGTGACTGGGTTTATCCATTTAGGGAAATCCAGCCTGGCTTTGTGTGAGATGGGGAGCTCTGTGTGCAAAGTCAATGAGGAATTCCCCATCACACCCGAATTGGTTTGATTTCTAGTGAGTGCTGGACTAAATCACAGAGCAGTAACATCAGCTATGCTCTTAATATCTTTGATCAAAATCTCAACAACCCTGAGTATTGCTGCTGGTCCTGGGCCAGTATTTTTCAGTGTTTAATACCAGGATTAAATTCAGGCATATTGCAGTAATCAAGATTGAGGTTATGTGAAGCCGTTTCTGCTGTAGAGAAGAGTGGCTGCACATTGCTGTGTCCTGCTGATACAGCTGATTTTTCAGTAATGCTTGTTCTATACTGTTAGGTGTAATGCAGAAAAGATTTCAGGTTCAACTTCCAAGTTTGGAGATATTTAGAAAGGTGATTGGATTTGGCATATGATCTGAGCAGATTTGATCTAGATCAAATTTCTATGAGGTGGGCTTCTGGTTCACTCCCGTCTCTAATGTTAAAGTTATGTCTAAGCTATAGCTGGGGACTGCTACCCAAACTTAGACCTGCCATCTGGTAAGCTGTCTGCTTTAATGCATCTCTTTGCATTTTCAGTTGACCTAATTAGCTACCTGACACGGTTCGAGTGGGACATGGCCAAGTATCCCATAAAGCAGCCGCTGAAGAATATATCGGAAGCATTAGCAAAGGTAAATTGTACTCCAAATTTTAAGAAGATGTCAGCATGGGGAAGCATGTCTTTTGGCAGTTTTTGGTCCCTCCTCTCATGGCAGTCAGTGAGAGCTTTGCCTTTGGTTTGGGCAGGAGCAGGCTCAGAAGCACGCACTTGGTACTGAAGCAGTTGATATTATTTTAATTTCTACTCTATTGATAATGATACATATATTTAAACCTATTAGTCTATAAGTATATGGCACTTTATCAGATTTACTAGAGTACATTGACATGCTTTCTGCACTTTAATCCCCTTCATTGTGATATTTTATTGCTTTTATATGCTGCCATATTATTCTCCATTTTAGAGTTCTTTTGTGAAGTTGTTGGCCTGACAGGCTGGATGAATTATTTGCACTGTCAGTCCATTCAGAAAGGTGTGATGTGTTGTTCAATACAGATTACAAATGAAACTGTGAACTTGCACCTTAGGTGCAGCCATAAGGCACACAGCATCAGCTAACTGAACCCTCCTTTCTGCAGAGGCCTTTGCCACCGGGGAGCTCTGACACCAGCTCCCTCTTGGCCACCATTAGGTGCTTTCCCTTGCGTTAAGGTGCAGAGAGGGGGGTGAGGACAACTCCTCAGGCACTGAGTTGACTTGCTTTTTTTACTTTGTTTTAGCAAGTGACTCAAATAGAAACAGACCTAAAGGCCAGATCAGCTGCATACAACAACATTAAAGGAAACTTGCAAAGCCTGGAGAAAAAAACTGTGTAAGTATAGCACGTGCCATTTTGCATCTGGAATGCTGCATGGCTGAACTGAGGACAGTGCGTGCTCACACCCATTGCTGTGCAGTGGACCATGTGTGGTCTGGTGGGAACAAATTTTTCTGGCTTTGGAGCATCTACAGACCCTGCAAGAGCTGGGGCAGGGGAAGCAGGTGTGATCAGCTTGTCTCAAAATCGGCTTGGGGAGACTGCAGTTCCTAATAGGATTTTATTGGCACTGTGAGCAGACAGTCTTGGGAAAAAGTCAAAACCAAATGCACTGCGTTGTTCTGATGAGATTTCAGGGAGTCAGAAATTAGATTAGCTGGGTCAACTGGTGGATTCCTTTGCAAGACAGAGCTGTTTCTTATGGGAGCTCTGAAAGTGCTGTTCAGAAAGTTGGCTTTACAATATCCCAGGCAAAAGCATCTATTTTCCTTCCCTGCTATGCCTACCTCATCAGCATATCCCGCTTAGATTTTTCTTTTCTTTGTTTCATTCTGTTAGTCCAGGTGATGATCTGTCAGGGCTTCACAGATGTTCTCTGTCCTCTCTTCAACTGCTTATGGTCTTTACCTATGTCAATTCTGATACCTGGATTTTCTAGGCAGCCTGCCTAGAAACCAGCCTTTACCCAGGGAAGATATTCAATTTTGGCCTCAAACCAAACCCCAGGGTGGTTGGAATTTTGTTCTGAATCTGGAGCTACAATCAACGTGCCTGGCACCAACTCTGCTGAATTTTTTTAACCCAACCAGAAACCACAGGAAAAATACTTTCAGGTGGTTGTTCAGAATGACTTTGTGAAAAAAAAAGGGTACCCGTCATGGTGACCTGCAGAACATGTACACTGCAGTGCCCACAAGGATCAGAAGAGCCGTATGGCAGCTACATCTCCCCTCTCTCTGCCGAGTTCCTGTGTCCGTGTCTCACCACCTCCAGCCAGCAACACTGGCATGTGCTTCCGGCTCAGCATAGATGGTGTAATACACATTTGTCTCAGGCTGCCTGCACGTGGATGACCATGGGCGGGAGGGACAAGGGGACATTAGATCCCAATTCCCTTTTCTTGGCACCATTCGTATTCCCAGCCCACTCCTGCAGCATCTCTTCAGCTTCCACATCAGCTTTAAGCACCTGGAGAGGGAACGTGAGCAGTGCTGGGCCTACAGCAAGGTGATGAAGAAGACGAATGGAGACCTCATGGTCTGGGCCTAACTTCCTCTCACCAGCCCATCCACCCTTAAATGCTGGCACCTCTGGTGTCTACCAATCCCAGGGAGCTTGGGTTAAACAAACATCTAGTAAGATGTTACTGGGCCAGTTAATGTTTAGACTGACACAGCGAACCTCAAACCAAAAACTACTTGTTTTGGTCCTCTTCACCCCTGCCCAGTGACAGGGAGGGCAGCTGCTCTCTTCCTGTACACACCTAGTGCCTACCAGCCATGCCTGGCCAGCCCCAGCCATCTGCACATCCTGAGTGTGCAGCACTAGTGGGACTTCATGTGATAAAGTGGGCTTAGGCTGCCCCCCCACAGGTCCCAGCTGGACATGAGACCACTGCTCCCACTGTCCTTCAGCTGGAGCTACCTCAGTGCTTGTTCTGGCAGTCTGGGCATGCCAGGGTTGCTTTGATGGCTTAGGTCCATACTAACATTGCTCACTGTGACAGGCAGCTCAACAGGCAGCCTTGAGGAGGCAGGTGCCTTCTGTCAGACATGGCAATGACTGGGAGCTGGTGGTAACTTCAGGTGTGCATCTCACCCTTCCTGCAGAAACAATAGCAGCAGAGTGGTGTAATTTCACATGGAAAAAGGGTGTAAACTAGCCTAGTGCTGGTCACCAGTATTCTGCCATTAGTATTAGTTGGTTTTTTAGTCTTTTTAGTTGCAGTAAAAATAACTAAATGGCCACTTTAGAAGTATAGAGGTGTCTTTGAGCCACCTCCTTCCTGGCCACCTTCTACCCTAGTATACAGCATAAGCAACTATACCCACAGCACAATACCTCCACTGTGCTGCTGCTGGGTTTCTGCTAATGCTATTTTTGCTTTGTCTTCTTCACCATAGGGGAAATCTGCTGACTCGGACCCTAGCAGACATTGTGCATAAAGAAGACTTTGTTCTGAATTCTGAGTATCTTATCACGCTGCTCGTCGTGGTGCCCAAGTAAGGCAATAGTGTGTGCACATGTGCTTGATGTGGCATTGAGTTTCAGGTCTAAGTGCTGGATCCAGGCGATACTGGGTCAGGCTGGGGCAGCTCATCTGCACTATGGCTGGGGGACGGGTGGAGCTGTTAGCAAAGAGAACAGTGTCTGCCCAGGGTGGTTCTGGCACCAAAAGAGACAAAGGCTGCTCTGAACTCAGAGCAAGACAGAAACGGGATTTTTAACTGTTACAGAGTGGGTTCTCAAACAGCCTCCTGGTCGGAATAGTTAAGAGTTCAAAAATAAAACAGAAAAACCAGATTCTTACTGGAGGTTAGCGGTTTATAAGAGGAATTAGACCTGTCAAACTCAGAAGGCTTCTGCTGGCCATGTATTCATTACGTGCCTGCACATAGGATGACTGCTATGATCACCATCAGTTGTGAAGTTATGTGATGTCCTTCTCAGGAGCCTACACAAAACCTTTCCTCTCTGTATAGCCCTGTCCCAACACACACACATACAGTACCGTCACTCTTCTGTCTGTGAAAACTGTGTTACAAACAGCTCTCTCAGGTAAGTTTGTTGAGTTTATTATCTGCACATTCTTTCAGATTCCCCCTATAAACAGACTTCTTGCTTTTCAAACTCTTACCATCCCCTTGGCCCCTTTCTCCCAGTGCTGGCACTTGCCATGTTTGTGGTGTAGCACCAGATGAGCTCTGGGATTGCAGGTAGCAGATGTACCACACCTACCCAGCGATCAGGGGCAGCCTGTGCAGGGGTCCTGGAGCGTGGGACACTGTGGGGCAGCCTGGAATTATGTACCAAAAGCCAGGTTCTTTCCATTGTCAGCTTCCTCCTCTGGGCCCTTCCTCATGCCAAGAGCCAAACTGAGAGCTGAGGGTACAACATTGAGGGAAACATTTCCCTAGCTGGTGACTAGGAAAGTATAGGAGAGGCTTAATGTATCTTAACCACATAACCCAGCATGAAGAGCTCCAACCCTTCTACCCTAAGCCATTAGCTTAATTAACTATATTTATCAACACATTTGCTTTCTAGTATATAGTATTTAGTTACTGTGCTTTGTTCTGTGTTGCTCAAAGGTCAAGCTATGTACAGTGGCAGAAGACCTATGAATCCCTCTCCGATATGGTAGTGCCTCGCTCCACCAAGTAAGTGAAATTCCAAATTAAGGTCCCTGTTTGTTTCAGAAATCCCTGCCATGTTTCAGCCCCTTAAATTGCTGGATCCTGCAAGGAAACATTTGTCTAACACATGGGCTCCATGTTAACATATAGATTTGCCCAATCTCATTCTCAACTGAAATCAGAAATTACTCTGTTGAAGGGAAGTGCAGATGAAAGGAAAAAAAAAAAAAAATCCCTTTTTTTTTTTTTTTTTTACAATTAGCTTATTGTTCCCTTTTCCAGTAACATAGTTCTTTCTACTTTCAACCAGGGCCTTTGCTTTTTTGTGTAAAACAAACAACAATTTGCTACATTAATCCAGGAGTAAATCCGACACATGCAATCATATACAACTTTATGGAAACTACTTTTTACAAAGATCAAACACTATATTTGCATCTTTAATTGCTTCCTGCTGTAGAATAGGATAATTCAGTGTATTGTTATTTGCATTAGCAAATGCCATGTTAACTTATCCTTTCACCTGGAGTAAAAAAACCTTCCTAGGAATTAAATATTCCCCCACTCAGCTCACACAGACCACAAGGCCCAATCAGGGCACAAGAGGTGAGGGTGCTGTTATCTGCAATGGAAGAAGTGGAAAGCACAGGGAAAGAAGAAAGCTGTTTGCTACTGCCTGTCTCGAAAACACAAGTGCATGGAAAGTGGGGAAACGTTACCAGGAAACAGAAAAATCAGGAAGGCAGAATGTGTGTGTACTACAATGGGTTCAGGAGCTTAACTCATGGGAGCTTTACACTGGAGATAGTGTGGCTGGTGCTAGTAAAGTCTTTGTTCCCTATTTCAGTCACAGCAGTTCTTGAAAAGCAGGGTGTTGTTCAATGTCATAAATGAAAAAAGAGCTGCAAGAGAGGAAAGTAAAGAAAGCCTGAGGGCTTTGCCATGTCAAATCACAGCAGCGAATCTCCCTCCCACAGAATGATTGCTGAGGATGCAGAAGGAGGACTCTTCACCGTGACCCTATTTAGAAAAGTGATGGATGACTTCAAGGCCAAAGCCAGGGAGAACAGGTAAGAGCACCGATTGCTAGGCGGGGCAGGCTAGCAAACAGATGATGAGGGGCAGGTGAGGCTTGTTCTGTGGGCAGTACAGCTGAATCCATCACTGGCTTTTAGGACTTCTTCACTGTTTGTGCTGCTGCTGGCCCTGAAGCTGCTGAGAAGGCAGGGTGGGAAGGAGCTGTGGCAGCAGATACAGCGATCCTCTTTAAGCACCAAACTACAGCTCCCTGAGTTGTCCTTCCTGTTCTCACACTACTGACATCAGGAAGCTTGCTTTCTGGAGGTGACTTCAACTCCCTCCCTCCACATACTTTAACCAGTTTAATGGCTAGCAACTTTGAAACGTCCCATACCTGCTTCTCCAGAGACAAAAGAAATGAGCATGCATATTGCTTGGACTATGGCTTGTGAGAGCAAATGTCATTCAATTGTAGGTTCATGGTTCGAGAATTTTATTTTGATGAGAAGGAACTGAAATGTGAAAAGGAAGAGCTGATGAAATTAGCTTCTGATAAGAAACAACAATATGTAAGTAGCACATGAAGTTGATGTCCCACATAATGACAGCCTTCCCTACCAGTGTGCCTAAGCACCTCGCTCCCAGAAATGGCTCTATGGTTCCATCAGACTCCTGTGAGCTTCATTTAGCCCAGAAAATTGAGTCATGGGATAGATAACACAATCTGCCCGAGGTCACTTGAGTTTCTGATAAACTGGGAGCCATTAAGAGGCTGCCTGAGAATTATCTCAGCAGCCCATGATGACTTCGGTGGTAGCAGCTATGGAGCTGCTTCACACAGCGAGGGGATCACAGTACGGTTGTGTCTGTTCTCACAGGGCCCTTTGCTGCGCTGGCTGAAAGTGAACTTCAGTGAAGCATTTGTGGCTTGGATTCACGTGAAAGCCTTGAGAGTTTTTGTTGAATCTGTCCTGAGGTAGGTGGGTAAACACGCAGTACCTGCAGTTTCCTGCAGAAGTCAAAACATACAGCTCTCTTCCTGGGATAGTTCCTTCATGGGAGGGAACAACCCTTACACACCACACTCCAGAAGCTCACAGGAGACAACACAAATGACCACAAAAAAGGTGACATACAAAGTTGATGAAAAACAGTTCTTTGGGGGCATTTACAGGGAAGTAGAAACAGAAAGACACTGTTTAGTTGGCTTTCAGCTTCAAAAAGAAAATGCTTTCTGATAAGGAGGCAGCACACCACCACTGCGATGGTGCACAGTCAGCTAGCGTGGTGTGCCTCCTCCCAGGAGATGCTCATGTATGTTCATGTGTTTCAAGATATGGCCTCCCAGTGAATTTCCAAGCAATGCTGCTGCAGCCAAATCGGAAGTCTGTAAAACGCCTGAGAGATGTCCTAAACGTGGTCTTCAAACACCTGGATGAAGTTGCAGCAGCAAGTATCATGGATGTATGTATGTATTTGGACTCCCAGTGCATGTGCTGTAGCTTGTCTCAGTTTAGCCAAATGAAAACTTCCACTGTCCAGGGCCAGAGCACCCATCTCCTCACACCTTGCAATATTAGGAGCTCTGGATGCAGCTCTAATCCCCGGTGGTTACAGATTGGATTGGGGTAACAGGTAGGCTCAGATTTCATAAAATCAGAGAATGGTCTGGGTTGGAAGGGGCCTTAAAGATCATCCAGTTCCAACCCCCCTGCCATCAGCAGGGACACCTTCCACTAGACCAGGTTGCTCAAAGCCTCATCCAGCCTGGCCTTGAACACTTCCAGGGAGGGGGCATCCACAGCTTCTCTGGGCAGCCTGGGCCAGTGTCTGACCACCACTGAGATGCATAGAGATTGCTTCATTTTCTGTTGAAGCATCTGATGTTTACAGCTGCCAGATGGAAACAGGTCTGCTCAATTATGTCAGTTCCTCAAGAGCTCAAGTCTTCTGTAAACATTCAGATCAAGACAAGCAGGAAGAAATAATTCAGAACTAAGTGCTAGGACTGTGACAGCTCCATCTCCTGTAAAAGGCTGTCACTGACCAAATCCCTCAACTGAGGACTTCAGCAAGCAGCAGTACTTGCCTTCTTCCTCCCCTTATCTTGACTGCACAAATGATTTAGGATAAACCAACTGGGATAAATCAGTAGGCACTACAACAGCCTAAAACCAGCAAGCTTAAGACCCCAGTGCACAAAGGGAGGAGAAAGAAATGAGTTGCTCTAGAGCTGAAACACACAAAAATGCTACAATACACATTTGTAAATTTACAGCAACCAAGCATGACTTCTCAATGCTCACTGTATGGGGCAGCCTGAAACCACCAACCGACACCACACTGTCAGTGGTGAATTCCCCATCTGAAAGCACAGCAAATAGAAAACTCCCTTCCCCCTGGTAAAGAGGAGCAGAAAGAATCCTCTCGCACTTGGAACCGTGCAACCGTTTGTCGGCTGGAACTAAAGTCATATTGTTTCATTTTGCAGCCTGGCATGGACATCCCTGGTTTACAACTGAGTAATCAAGAATACTATCCCTACGTCTACTTCAAGATTGACCTCAGTCTTCTTGACTGCAGTTAAAAAACAGCTGCTCAAGCTTCATCTATTCATTTTCAAGACCCTGATGTTACAGTCAAACAATCTTTAGCTGCTGAAAGTAAAATTAAAATGCAGATGCTGTAGCAGGATAATTGTTTAAGATTTTCCTACCACTTCCAGAAATTTTTACAGGAACTTCAATAAAGTATCTCTTGTTCACAGTTTTACAAAAACATATTTGAGAAGCAGGAGGTACTATGGTAGTATTTATTTTTTTGGTAAACTAAAAAGATAAAATATCTGTTGGACTTGAAATAAAACAATTTTAAAAGTGTGGTGGCTAATGGATCTACTAGGTGTGCACAATCCTGTTTTTCTAACAAAGCAAACTTAAAAAAAAAACCCCCAAACAAACAGAAAAAGTAGAAAGCAGCAGAGCAAAACCCAGGTTTTTAATTAAAAAAACAAAACCAAAAACAGCCCAAGAAGAAAGATCCTCCAAATTGCTGCAGAACTCATTCTCATTTGACTTCTAGAAGTTTAGTTTTTGCCAAGACATTTCAGGTATAACAGTTCCATCAGATCACATCTGCCAGGATGAGGTTTCCTGCCCCAAACCAGGAGTCAGGTTACTGTTGGCTACCAGTGGTTCTCACACTGCTTCTCACAGGCACCAGCCACAGGCGATCCCTTACAGACACTAGGTGGCAAATATCCATATTGAGTTATTTCCTTGAAAGGAGGGGAAACTAAGTTCTTTCATTCCTTACTTATAAACAAGCTGATCACATGAGGGTCACTTCACCAGACACTGATACACAAGACAGGGAGAGCACCAAAATGTAATAGTATTTTTATTAAAAAAGCAGCAGTAACCATTTCCATTCCTGATTCTCCTTCCAAGGAAATAGCAATTTCAAATCAAAATGATGCCAGGTGGGAAGTGAAGAAATATTATCCAAGTCACTGGAGACAGCACCGTGGTGTTTTTCTGTCAGCACCTGGAACCCCTCAAGCCCTAAAAATGAGGATTAGCTTCACTGCTAACTCTGGGGAAAAGACCAACAGCTCCCAGTGTCTCCCACTGCAGCACCAACCCCACTTCCATTGCATTAATGATCCCAAAGTCTGGCACAAAGAAAGAGAAAGCCCCTGAGAAGGAATAGGAAAAGGAAGACTAAAAAGCATTTAAACTAAGATTGTCCATCTAATCAGGCTTTAGGCCAAACTGTCGAGATCGTTCACAGCAAGGGGGTGGTTTAGGACTCCCCTCTCCCCCAGCCTCTCTAGTCTAGAGTTCATTTCTCAAGAGTCATCCAAAATGGGATAGCCTTTATCACGTGCACCTTTGTTACTCTATACAAGACTAACACTGTGTGTCAAAAATACTTTGTTTTATTCTTTAATTGAAACAGAAGCTGACCAGGTTTCACCTCCATGAAAAAAAAAAAAAAAGTCACATTTAAAATTGGTTACACTAACAGCCTCCAGTAACACTCAAAGAGGACACTATCCACAAAATAAAAACCAAGATGTTCCAAAGAAATATCCATGTTGTCCTCAAAATATTTGTTACACAGAATACAATGAAGTTTACTGGTTATGACAATTCATAGAATTTCTGCAGTGTTTTCTTGAGATGCGTACAGTTCACTGCTGCAGTGCATCAAATAGCACAGTGTGGCACATGCTATTTCTCCAAAAAAAGGCCACTGGAATATCCATCTGACTGTGAACCAGGTTGCAAACTGCTGCACAAACTCTCCCAAGAAAAGAGATTTCCTGACGATCTCACAGCTCATCTTTATCCCAGTCATCCAGGTCCACATCACTGAGATCAATATCATCTTCAACCGGAAGCTGTGAAGAAGGGAAGGTTTTGAGCATGTGTTCAGAAGAGCTTAACACCAGGATATCACTGCCTCCAAGAAATGTTACTTCATCCTGAGAGTAAAGCTCCTGTCTGCCACCTCTTTCATGCACAGAAACTCAAAGCAAATTAAGCACAGGACAAGTGATCAGTGTAGACTAGAAGGTTGTTTCTACTAATAAAAATACTCCAAAGGCAAATACAGATAAACTATGTAACAAAACTACTACCATATTCTATATTTTAATTCCACCTGAAGTACATCAACTTTGTTTTTTTACAGCAGTTTTGAACCTTAAGACCATACTTTGTCACTGTGTTATTACATGGGCTTTACTGACAAACTTTCTGACACAAAGACTTTGATGGGCAGGTCAGCACACTGCAGAACCAAATTCTCCACAAACATTCAGGTCTTGAATGCCTATCACCTCCCTTACTCACCCTGGGTAACAACAGATTTCAGCCTCAAGGGATTCAACTTTCACATTACATATTAACAGGTAGGCAGGAGTCCACGGTGTCAGACAATGAGTCTGGTGGATGGTCTGGTGGCAAGATTTAGGTAATGGGAAATCAAACAAAATTTGCCACTATCTTTGAAGAACAAAAATTTTCACACTGCCAGTTCTTAGTTACTCTGTCCAGTCACCTCTGAAGCTAGAAAATCACCAGCACTTTTAAGAGATTGAGAACATCTTACCTCACCATCTTTGCCATCCCAAGCTTCAACTGAATGAATTTTAGGGAAAGCTCCACCACCCACTGGTGCTGTAGAGCCACGACCAACAGATAGTTCCCTGAGGAAAAAACAAAACAAAACAAAACCCCAACAATTAAAAGTTACATTTCTGGAATTTCTGCAGTCTCCATCCACCTAGAACAGTACCTGCTTCAGATAAAGGGAAGTTAACTTCCAAATGTGCTTGCAACTCTTGAAGCAAATCTAAACTGTCTGGAAGCAAAAGCTTTTCAAATTGAGAAGCAAAAAATGAGAAAGAGCCCTTAAAGCAGCATTATGAATTTACAATTGGGCCCACAGAGAAAAAAAACTATGTGAGCTACACTTTCATATTTCAGCAGTGCCCCTTGCAACACTCATGAACAAATACAGCCCCTTGAACAGTATGTTGAATATCTTGTGTATCACTTGAGGCAACTCCAAGAAGAAACTGTAATTCTAGTTTGGGAAGTCACCTGCAACTGTTACTTGAAATCACTAGTGATCTTTATTCAGTGGACTCAGCCTCCAAGGGTTACCATGGGTACAAGGTAACCAGCTTCTGTTTTGAGACATCCCATCTTGCACTTGCTAGTTAGGCTTGCTCAAAAAGCCTAACATCAGAATCCTGAAGAGCTAATCCCTTTGCTCTTCAGAGGCAAGTAAGACCGAATATGCATTCCTCCCTAGGTGGAGTCTACAATTTTTATGCTTTTTATGCTCTTCTCAATGCCAATTTCCTTACTTTTGGTCAAGACTGTTAAGGCTGCCTATTAGCTTACAAAAGCTGCACGCAGCCAGCTGAGTTAACAGCCGGCTACACCAACTGTGTGTGTACTGCCTTCTCTAGGCAGCAGTGAGCTGAAGTGTCAAGAAAGAGATTATTCCAGCAATTACTGCTCTGTATTAAGATACTAACCAAACCAGTTATCTAATGCAATATAAGGTGCTGAGTTGGCCGTTGTGTCCTGGAAGCACCAGCCACCCTCACCAGTAGAGGCTTCACCAAGATGGATTTTCTAGACTAAGAGACTGTGCCATGTCTGAGAAAGGCAGACACATCTCATGCACATTAGTACAGACTGTCTGGTATTACTCTTCTTGCATCCGAATCCTAAATTTTACTTGATGGTCCGAGAACATTCCTTTTTTGGCAATAGGAAGAAAGTCTGATCACTTACACATGTGAGATAATATAACACTGTTCCCATTAATCCAGCAGGAACAGGGCTCAATTAATCTGCTTCTCATGGCAAAGTAGAGACTTGTATTTCCTTTTGCAGTTCTGACTGTCCTCTGCCATTCTCCAAGCAAGGAGATGGAAACAACACTGCTAATGTGAGCTCTCAAAGGCTCTTACATACCTCGTGGCAGCTGGTGTTTTATCCAGAAGCAGAGTTCCCACTTCACTTTGACCATTCTTAAATAACAATTTAAGTTTAGCTGCTGTTTCAGTGCTGCTGCTGCTGCCCTCTGTCCTCCTCTCCATTTCCCTTCCCCATTCCACTCTTCCCAGCACTGGCTGTTGCCCAACAAGAGGCAGTCCTGGGGAACCTGAGCTGAGCAGAGAGCTACTGACTTTTTGGATGGATTGCTTCAGCTTCCCCAATCAGTTTATCGGATGCCAGGGGAATGGGGAAGCAGAGGGTGGGAGGGGGAAGACAGGCCCTGACCAAGCCAGGAAGATGAACAGCAACATACAGAACCTCAAGAACCACAACAGAACCCATTTAGATTCCCAAACTGGGAACTTCACAATTACTAATTAGTAAACAGAATGCACCATTTGTGTATGGTATTGATAGTATTGATTACCAAATCCTATTAACTTCTCAGGTTACCAGAGAACCAGAATTTTTCAAGATCAAAGCTCACTTGTGTTTTCAAAAGTTGTGCTAAAACTTACTAATTAGTAAACAGAATGCACCATTTGTGCATGGTATTGATAGTATTGATTACCAAATCCCATTAACTTCTCAGGTTACCAGAGAACCAGAGGTTTTTCAAGATCAAAGCTCACTTCTGTTTTCAAAAGTTGTGCTAAAACGACCATTCGAGTCTAAATGCCAACTTCTTAATTCTGTCCACCACAAAAAGGTAGCAACGGCTTTATTACTTGCCAGCCCCACTGAAATCATTCCCTTACTCAAGTGAATGTTCATCATCTTAATTCTCTTAACTGTGCAAGTCTCAGCTGATCCAGGAGAGCCTGATTTTGGTCTAGTCACAGCCCCAGTTACCAGAAGATTTAAGTCACTTTAAGACTTCATACCTGAGGAACTCATTAATCCCTTGCTCACTGAATGATCCTTTCAGAAGGGCAAATTTCATCTTCCGAGCATTAACAGCTGCCATTGCTGGATACCCAAAGCCTCCAATCCCCAAAGAGCTCTCAAGATCTGACTGAGCACCTGCTTCTGTCCACAGCCACCTTGAGGAAAAGATAAAACAGAAAATGAGTAATTAAGACAGGCTCTAAAATCGTTTTGAAGTCATACATATCACAGAATCACAGAATATTATTAGGGATTGGAAGGGACCTCAAAAGTTCATCTAGTCCAATCGCCATGACGGAGCAGGAACACCTAAATAATAAGATTACACAGGAAGGCGTCCAGGTGGGTCTTGAATGTCTCCAGAGAAGGAGACTCCACAACCTCCCTGGGCAGCCTGTTCCAGTGCTCTGTTACCCAACCTGCAACCCTGCAGAGTTCAAGCCATGAAAGACAGTCCAGGGAAAAAATTATGTCAAAATTATATCTGAACAAATCACGACAACTTTAGCTTACATTAAGCAAGGTTTAAAATGGCAAAAGTCACACATCCAAACATGACAAAGTACAGCCCAAATACCACTGTAGAGGATTTCTGGCCAAAGATGGCAAGATCAGTATTTCACTCAGTATTAGCTCCTCACTGCTCAGGTCTCAGTTCCTCTAATGCTTAGCAAGTCCCCCTGAGGAACCTCTGGAGCCAGCCAATCTCAGCATTTTCCCCAGGCTTTCATGCCATTTTGCCCCTTTTCACAGCAGTCAGACTCTCACTTCGCAGATAAGTCCTAGAGATCCTAACCTCCACTTGAGAGGGGGAGGAGAAAAGCCAATGCTGATGGCCCTTTTTTTGAGAATTCCACACTCATAGTGGCAGACTCACCCACCTGCTCAGGACAAGAGTAAAATATGCTTAATCTGATCTCATTAGTGCTTAGATTGTAAATGCAGGACTTGAGGTGGATGAAAATAAAGAAAATCAGCAGTTTATTCTAAAGCCACAGCACCCCCTCCCATAGTACAGTTAGTGAAATACCACAATATACTACCCTTAACAAGGAACAACTCTTATCTGCAGATAAATCACTACTATACAAATTCTATCCCATTACCTCTAGACATGCTCACATCTTTTCCAAGACGACCAGTCTACAATGACACTTACCCCCACATTTTCTTTTTGTATTTTTCAGCCATTTTTAGCATGACATCTAGGTAAGAATTCCTCCCTGAAGCTCCTGTTAGACAGAATTGGACAAGTTAAAAAATACAATATATGCTTTAAGTAACAAATACGTACAGAAATCTGCTTGCTTGTATGTCTACCTGTGTCAAGAATATGCGGCAGGACAGAAATGATGCAGAGCTGATGAGCATCACAGGTACTCTTCAGAACATCTTCACTAATTATCTAGAAGAAAGCAGCAGAAAGTCAATTAGACGAAGATCTGGTCACCCAGCTGTGACTGTACTTCCCTCAACTCCACCCTACAAGGTAATAAGCACTGAAACAACTTGACACAAAAGCTTACAAGCCTCTCCTACTTCGCTAGTCCCCCAACACAAGACTAATTGCAGAGTTCACAAAGCCTTCAGTTGAGACTTGCCCTAACAGGAAAGCGAGCAGTACAGAGAGCACAGTAAGATGTCACTTCTTGTTCAAAATCGCTGTCCTTGGACCAGGGCTGGACACAGCACACCCAGATCTGTGCACACACCTGTAGGTTTCACTCATGGCACAGCATAAGGAGAGCTGGCAGGGTGCAGCATTGGCTGAAGATAAGGACATTTAATTGACATTAACAGAGCAGTACTGGGTTTGTGTGATATACCTTAAAAAGGAATCAAACCATTTACCTGCATCAGTAGTCTCCAAACTGACTGTGTACCCCTACCAGTAAAAAATTTCCAAGCATGCAGCCCTGGTATATGTATATCAATTATATACATGTACTACTGTACTAACATGTACCTGATGAAGTATACATAAAATAGACATTTTAAAAGGATGACTTAGATGAAAAACTTTTTTTTTTTTTTTAATTTATTAATGGTACATTTTCTTTTGTCTTGCATACACCCCACTTTGGAGACAACTGGTCACCATTTGAAATCTACCAACGTTGAGCTGAAACTAGAAGTCACCATAAAGAAAGTGTGGACACCACACTTCTTGGACAACAGGCAAGATTAGTCATCATGCAACTTCTAACGGGCAGCTTACAAACTACAAAAGCCTGCCCTCTTGTTTTAAGAGGAGAGATGGAACACAGAACCCAGCCTTTTCACTCACTAATCAAGAGAGCATTGAGACACCCTGGTACCATCCTGTCCGTGCCTTCACTGTATCAATTCTGATATTCTTTCAGTCAACAACAAACTCACGGTAAAAATGAAGTAACAGAAAGCTGAATGATCAGACGTGTCCTTGGCTTCCTGCTGCAAAACAGTGTGCAAGCAGCACACTTAAGCTGTTTTATTTACAGTTAATACAGTCCTGTAAAAACTGCTGCAAAGATATGATGGAAAACCAATGTGAGAAAACGATGTAGAGGTACCTCCAGGAGCTCAGGTGGTGGTGCATTATCAGAAAACAGATCCAGAGCACGAGCAATGATATCAGATCTAGTTCTCCCACCATCATAATCAACAGGGTCCTCTCCTTTCTGGAAGATTTTAATAGTGGGAAATCCACGAATCTGCAAAACAAGTTTAAGCCATCAGCTCAAATAAATCTGAGTATTTATGGTGGAAGTCATCTACTACTCTGATACATTCTAGATTAAGAGAAAGGGAAGAGATTTAACATCTACAGGAATCAAGTATCAGAGTATGTTATGTCTGAACAGCTTGGAACAATTTTATAACTTCCTATTTGTGCAACAATTCCAAACAAGGTTGACATACACTGAAACACTGTTTCACGTTTCAGGACCATGAATCAGTAACAGTTTCACCTCAGTGTAGAAGCACAAAGCATTGAAAGTTTACCAGTAGGGCTATCTTAACTCTTGGTATTTTTTAGACATTAGTTTCCCAATTTGTCTGTGAGAAGACAGCACTGTGCCTACATGGCAGCAAGAGGACCTTAAGCTGCCTCTGCTACACTTGCAGTAAAATTTGTCTTTTGCTAGCCACATGCAGTTACAGGGAAACTAAGCAGCACACTATAAGCTCCCTGTACTCTATTACACATCAGAGTATCAGTTGGCTTTGGGCCCACAGCACAGCTGACCTGGACAGCTGATACTGTCAGACTGATCCCTGACAACTGCCTCCAAGATGTACAGCTACACACACGTGTGTGCTCTGCAGATGCCCAGCCAGCAAACAGTTTTAAAGGAGAGACCTCTCACTTCAGATGACAAAACTATACAAGACCTTATGGAAATAAACAGCATCTTTCATCAGCAACATCCAGATATATTCCTCTCCTTTCACTCCATTTATTTATACTGTTACTGATAATCAGGAATGAATTATTTGTGGAAAAATGGTATGTGTCACTGGACATTATTTTTAGCACAAAACATTTAAGTGGCACCAGATTAAGAAATGGTTCAGTAAGCATTAAAGGGAAATCTGACTTACTAGAAATGGAAAGGAAATTGTAACTGCTGCAGAGGACACTCACCCCATATCGGCCTGCCAGCATCTGATTGACTGTTGCATCTACTGCAGCCAGCTTTACTTTTCCCTTGGTTTGTTCCTTCACCTCAGTAGCAGCAGCTGCCCATTCTGGCTCCAGACTGAAAAGTGAAGATTATGAGTACTCTAAGCTCAGCTATCAAAAGCATACCACATCTGAACATTATGTGGCACACTCTGCTCAGGAAAAAGACAAATCTCCACAAAGAATGACAGCTAGCAGCTAGGTGCTTTATTCCAGTGAGACTCAAGCCCCACATCTGAAGGCACAAAAACATCACTATAACCTCAGGATCTTACTACCAATGGGAGTTTTACTGCTAAGCAGGAGTGCAGCCAGAACAGCACCAAGGTGCCCTGAGCAGGAGAAGCCCACGTTTTTGTTAGAACACTTTATGGAAAACCCCACTTCTGATACACCAGAGATGCAAGGTCCCTTTTAGGAGATTAAAGGTATTGCACAAAAACAAGCACTAATGGGAATGGAATTGTCAAAGAAAAACCTCATTTACTTTTTGCAGTGTCCACACCACGGGGCATAAAATTCCACCATCCACACATCTTCACTATTTAGGACGTTCTTATCGAAGCTGTCATCGGTCAGTTCAATCACATCCTTCTTATCTCCACCTCCACTCTCTCGGCTCTGTAAGAAACAAACAGGCCCTCACATAAGCAATAACCAAAACTAGTTTCCCACACAAACCATCTCCTGTGTGTCACATTGTGCCAAATGGTCTTTATTTGAATGTCATACAAACCAGGCAGTGTTAGGTCATACAACTTTCCCATTTTAGATCTGACAATACACACAGCCTCCTCCTCCCCCAGCACTTTCAAGCAACAGCAAGTGAACCTTCTTTTAAAAAATAAAAAAAGAAATCAGGTCAAACTGATTAACAAGAAGATGTGGGAACACTCCCCCAGTTCTTCATGTTCTGATGTGTCCAAGAACAAAGTGCTAACACCCCCACCCCGCTGTGCCCTGGTTTCCAGGAAAAACAAACGTGTGAGTGCAATGCACACTACAGGGCACAGTCTACCTCGGTCAGAGTGTTCTTGCTCTGTGATTTAGAAACAGTAGTAGCAGTCAGAAGCTTTTCAATTTACCTTCATGGAGAAATCCAGCAAGCCAACTTCAGAAGAACACTACCAAATTAAGGAAGCCTATTTCATCTAGCTTAGACTATGACCAGGCAAATGGTACCTAAACTAGTTGCAGAATGGGGCTAACAGGGACCTCAAAGTTCAAAGAGAGATGCAAAGTCTTCCACCTGGGGAAGAATAACCCCATGCACCAGTACATGCTGGAAAGCAGCTTTTCAGAGAGGGACCCTGGGGTCCTGGCAGACAACAAGTTGAACATGAGCCAGCAATGCACTCCTGTGGCAAAGGTGGCCAACAGCCTCCTGAGCCGCTGTAGGCAGAGATGCCAACAGGTGTGGGGAGGTGATCTTCCCTCTGCTCAGCACTGTGCCAAACATCCAAGTACTGAGTCTAGTTTTGGGCTCCCCAGTATAAGAGGCATGCACACACTGGAGCAAGCCCAGTCAAAGCTGATTAAGGGCTTTGAGCATCTGACATACGATGAGAGGTTGAGAAAGCTGGGATTGCTCATCTGGAAAAAGAGACGGCTCTGTGTAGATTCTATCCATGGCTATAAATACCTGAGCGGAGGGGAGTAAAAACCAACCAAACAAAGGCAGACTCCTCTCTGCAATGCCCAGTGACAAGAAAAAAAAGGGCATAAGTTGAAATACAAGAATTTAATTTAAATATAAGAGAAAAAAAATTTCTGCTGTGAGGGTGTTCAAATACTGGAACAGGTTGCCCAAAGACAGCAGTCTGTGTGGAGTCTCAGTACTTGGAGATACTCAGAACTTGACAGGACACAGCCCTGAGCAATCTGCTCTAGCTGACCTCGCACTGGCAGGAAGCTGGACTAGACAACCTCCAGAAGTCCCTTCCATCTAGTCTGAACAGAGTCAGGAGCACAAGCTCTGATCTCCTGTACAGGAGAGTCTCCAGTTGAAAACATACACACATTTCCTCAATACCTGTTTCCCAGAACTGTATCCTCCACTTCTGCCACTAAGACGGTCTTTGACCAGGGACCGAAGAGCACTTAGAGCAGCATCAACGATGGCGTCACTTGTCCTGCCACCTGCAACACAGCAAAGTGAGTGACTGAAGCACCAAAAAGTCAGTTTAAGGCAGGCCACTGACTTAAGTACAAATTTAATCCTCCCTCATCCTAAGGATTCTTCTGTAAAAGCAACACTGGGCTCTAAGTGAGAAGGTGCTAGTGGTGGGACATCACTGACAAACACAAGCAGCCGGATTGACTTCATTCCACTTTTTAACGACCCACCTTATCTGACGGGGGGTGACTGTGGCAAGCTCCCAGTAAACAAGAATAAAGGAATATTTTTTTTGGAACTGCCTATTAACCTCCACCAACTACAAACTGCAGGTGGGGCTGTTAGAAATTTGGTCTTGAACAATTTGGTCACACAGGTGCCACCCATCTGTCTCTCAGTTACTACAAGCACTGGACAGAAAGGAAACACCACACCAGACAGCCATAACAGCTACCACAGTTACTGTATTCAGGGAAGTTTTCAGACATGCAGCACATGAAAGAACATCACATTTACCCTGATAATCCTCTGCTTTGTTTTTGTTGGCTCCAAATATCTTGATAGTTGGAAACCCTCTGACTCCATACTGTCCACCCAAGGACTGATGCTTATCTGCATCTACTGCACCTACTTTCACTACACCCTGTGGAAATAAAATAAAAAAGCTAAGACAAGACTTCTACAGTGATGTAACACTTTACACTCGGTGAATGCTGGAGAGAGGGTGGTTAGGAGTGTAAGGAAACACCAGAAGAGAGGTGTTATCCCCCCAAAAGCATTAAACTACAGAACACAATATTTGCCCATTTCTTTCTTCATCCTGACAACTAAATTTTAAATTGTTTGTCTGGGGATTTTTTTGTTTGGTTTAGTGGTTTTGGGGTTTGTTTGGGTTTTTTTTTTTTTTGGGGGGGGGGGGTTGTTTTTCTCTCTCAAAAAAGGGAATATATTTTAGCTAGGCAAGAGTTCAGCAAATCACTACATGACCAAGTTTTCAGTAATTGAATAAATACTCATCACCAACAGCTTACAAAGCTGTTTTTAAATACTCAGTTCATGCTGTTCTTGTACTTCAGAGGCAGGTGACAAGACAGCAAGGAAGAAAAAAGAAACATGCTATTTTGGGCGATGGCTGGATTCTAATGTCTTCTGGTGCTGTTAAAAGCAGCCCTGGTAAAAAGTAACAGGAATTCACAGGGACAGAACTGACTTGCTTCCCCTACAATTCAATGTCTTCTTTTAAAACAAACGCACATAAAAATCCGGACTTTTTAAGTGCCTCTGATTGGCCACTTCTCTGGCTGGACAAGTATGATTAAAGTGATATGGTTTTGGGGACCAAACCCCACCTCCGTGTTCCCAAGCCAGATGACAAACAGCCAAAAATCCTCAATCCATTGCCACAAGCACATCCAAAAGGTTAAACTTACTTTTAATGCTGTTGCTGCTTTCTTCCACTCAGGGGTTAGTCTTTGACAATGACCACACCTTTTAGGGAGAAAAACCAAACAGTAATTGTCACTCAGATCTGATAACTATTTCACAAAGTACGAAGTGGTCTTGTTGGGTTTTTGCAATTACAGAACAGCCGCTCGCTTGCAGCGAATGTCTGAGACTTAAGGTCTACTCATGCAGAGGGGAAGGGGCTATGCCACAACATCACACCATCCCTCAGACTTCTGAAGAAAAATCTCCATAGGTATTATATAAGTGCATACACACACACACACACACTTCAAAAGCTACCTGGCCTTCCTGACACACAAACAAATGTGAGCGCCAAAATTGGTATTTGATACTAGTCTGCTTGTTGCGAGCTAAAAGGGACCTGTGATGAGGCCTGAAAAAAATTACTCTAGAGGTAACTTTTTAACTAGTAAGAATTTGTGGCACAACTCACGGAGGTGTCTAGGGGAGAAGACTAACTAGTGTATACTCACAAGTTTGTATGGAAAAGGGAGCCACCAATTTACTTAGACCTATTTTACACTTTATGGCCATTGTTCAGCAAGGCTTCCCGTTGCCCATAAAGCCACAACAACACTAGAAGAGGCACAGCAAGCTTTCCCCTAAACCCATCAGTCTAGACACAGTCAGGCTATTGCAATGAAAGGCCCCTTCCTGCAGGACATGGAGCTTTGGATAGCAACGCCACAGAGGATTTGTGCAAAGGTGGAATATAAATCACCAGAGCTTACATGGAAGAGACTCCATGCTCTGGACACAAGCAGGATGGGAGACAGAGGTGCTAAATTAAGATGAACAAAGCCAGTATTTTTCAATGTAAACTGGAAATTCTAAGTGTGAATTCAGATCTGTGCTTTCCCATCAGAATCAGGTTCAGAAGCACAGAAGCAAGAGGCCTTCTCACTTATCTATTGCACTTTAATTGATCATTTTTAATATTAATACTAAAAATTGAAGTAGTAAACCTTGAAACAAAGTCCTGCCTTTTTCCCTCGTGAGGATATTTAAAACAGGAATCCCAACTACAGCTATTTTGCTACTCATGAGGCCACCAAACCGGCAACTCTGCTGCCAACAACTGGATGAAACCCTGGACTGATCAGCAGCAGATTCCTCTGCTGCTCCTCCATGATAAGAGCAAGCAAGTAGGCAG